GATCTGCTTCCTTAAAGATTACAGCCAAGAAAACCCTATGGATCTCAGTTCTACTCTACAACACATAGGGTCTCCATGAGTTAAAATCAACTCGACGCAGCAATGGGGTTTCTTTGTTTTGATTTGGTTTTTTGTTTTGTTTTTTGTTTTTGTCCATATTCTTATCTAGCAGTGTGCTGGTAAATGTTTAGCAACTGGTTTTCCAGGAAGGATAAGACATACTTTGTAGCTTTTGCCAATTTCTATGGCATAAATACTACAACCACAGTCTATTTCGAGCTACCAAAACTATGCTGAATGGCACTCCAGGAAAATTTGTCAGCTTTCACAAGCCTGGATAAGCCAGCTGCAGCATACCACTGCATAAACTTCCAATTGCTTTGTAAGACTCACAGGGTTAACCTGTTTTACAATCTCTTGTGATGTGTAGTGTATCCTTCTCCTCTGCAAACTTAAGTTTTGGCATCTGCACCTTGCACCCCAAAGTTAGATACACTAAACTCTGTTAGTTCCCAGAATATCCTGAATTTTCTCTCGCCTAGAGGTTTTGCTTATACCCCATCCTCTTTCTTTTCCTTTTCAACATGCTAATTCCCAGTCATCTTTCTTTAAACAATTTTATTTTTTGTTCTTGTTGTTAAAAACATGCACAGCAGAACATACACCAATTCAATGATTTCTACATGTAAAATTCAGTGACATTGATCATATTCAAGTTGTGCAACCATTCTTACCCTCCTTTTCTGAGTTGTTCCTCCTCCATTAACATAAACTCACTGCCCCCTAAGCTTTCTCTCTAACCTTCCGAGTTGCTGTTGTCAATTTGATCCCATAAAGCTAGTTATTTAAAAGAGGACAATGCTCAAGGCAGACATTCTTTACTACTTAAGCTAAACTACTGTTTGGTTTAAGGAGCCCTGGTGGCACAGTGCTGATCAAAGGATCTGTGGTTCAAACCCATCAGCCACTCCATGGGAGAAAGATGTCGCAGTTGGCTTCTGTAAAGATTACAGCCTTGGAAACCCTATGGGGCAGTTCTACTCTGTCCTATAGGGTCTCTATGAGTAATCAACTCAGTGGCAATGGGTTTGATTTTTGGTTTATTGTTTGGTTTAAAGACTTCAGGGGATATTTTCGGTTTAAGGTTTAAAGATTGTCTCAGGACAATAGTTTCAGGGGTTCATCCAACCTCAAAACCTGGATTCCATGAGAATTTGAAATTCTGTCCTACATTCCCCCCCTTTTGTTCAGGATTCTTCTATAGTATCTTTAATGAAAACGTTCAGTAATGGTAGACAGGTACCATCCAGTTCTTCTGGTCTCATGGCAAAGGAGGAAGTTGTTCGTGGAGGCAATTAGCCACACATTCCATATCCTCCTCCTATTCCTGACTCTCCTTCTTCCTCTGTTGCTCCAGGAGAATACAAACTGTTGTACCTTGGATGGCCACTTGCAAGCTTTTAAGACCCCAGACACTATGCAACAAACTAGGAGGTAGAACAGAGGCACTAAAAATGATATTAGGCCAGTTAACTGGGATGTCCATGAAACCATGATCCTTAATCTCCAAACCAAGAAACCAAATCCCATGAGGTATTTGGTTGTACATAAGCAGCCTCAGCAGCGTATCTTTTTGTTGTCGTTGTTGTTTAATGTCTTCTTATCTTTAAGGTCTCAGTTTAGAAGAAAAGTCTTCTGAGAAATTGTCACTGACCTCCCCTTTAAACATAGTTTAGAAACACTTCTGTGCTTCCCCAGATTTCTCTACCCTTCCTGTCATAGCAGTTATTACTCTATATTGTAATTATCTGATTCTATGGGTCTTTATCTCCCACTATGAGCAACTTGAGGAGCCCTGGTGGTGCAGTGGTTAAGCACTAGTCTGCTAACAGAAAGGTCGGCTGTTTGATCCTACCAGCTGCTCCTCAGGAGAAAGATGTGGCAGTC